CCGTTGCCCCGGCTCCCCGCTCTTTCTAGTGGTTCTGCTGGTGCCACTACTTCTTCTGTCCTCTTGTCACAGTGTGCCCTCCCCCTCCCTCCTCATTACCAGCCCCCGCCTTATGTACCTCGGTACCAACCTGACAGAGTCCCCCAGTTCGATGGTAAGGCCTCTGAACTCCAGGCCTGGATCACCACAGCCGAGGAGCAACTTCGGTACCATGGGGTAAACATGGACTTGTGGCCTACGGAGATGTCAGCCCGCTTCATCGGTCGAGCGGCTTCCATTTGGCGCGACTTTCTCGCCCTTTGTACTCAGCAAGGCGTTCACGCGAGTATGACGTACACGGAGTTTCGTGATTTTCTCCAGCAGTACTTCTCTCGCCCGACGCCTACCCGTGACCCGATCACACGGATCTCTGAGATCAGATGGCTTGGTGGCAACAATGCCTTAGAGTCGCACATCACCGCATTCCACCGCGTTCGCGCCCAGATCCCGCCCTCCCTTATAGCTGACGACGCTTTGGTCCAGCGTTTCCGTGCCGGGTTACCCCAACCCTTCCAGCTTCAGATGCTGGCATACACTGTCCATACCCTCCCCGAGGCCTTCAACATTGCCAGGGCCATCCAGCTCACCTATGCACCTCTTGTGAGCTCCACATCTGGGCCTGGTGCCGCACCCCCCGCTTCATCATCTGCCCCTGGCACATCTCGCCCCCGCCAGTTCTCCACGTCTCACCGAGGTCCCCGTCGAGTTCCTGGACGTGCCTTCTTCTACCGTGTCCAGACTATGCTCCGCGAGTCGTTGAGCGCTGAGGAGGGTACTAGTTTGGACGGATCCCATAGCGACCTAGAGTAGGAACATGACCCCCAGTCCCTTGTGGATGACGATGACCCCGACCAAGACGAGCATCTCGCCCGCGCCTTCTCTGCTTTCCTGAGGCAGCGCCAACCCTCCTCATCGAGGACCCGCTCTTCCGCCACACAGCTGCCCCTCCCATCGGGTTACGCCTTCCCCCGCGCCCGATTGACTATCGTGGAGAGTGAGGACTTTCGCGCACGAGGTATATGTACCCGTTGTCGCTTACCTGGTCACACTCCGTCCACCTGCCCCTACGTCGACGCCCTCCAGCGTCACTTTGTTCAGCAGTCCCGCCCTCAGCCTAACCCCCCTGTCTCGACCTCCAGCTCCGCAGCCACCTAGCGGCGATCTCCCGCCCCGCTGATCCTCCCACAGTAGCAGGCATACCCACCTGCGATTCTACCTTCGCGCCGCTTGCTACTGTTTCTGAGGACTCGGACCTAACTTCATCGTTGGTTGCTTCTAGCGTCGTTGGCCCACTCTCCAGTGCCTCCACTTCTTCGCCTAGCGTCTCTCATGATCCTCCTCCTCGTCCTCCTACGAGGCGTGCTATTCGCACGGCGCGCTGCAGTGCCTCCCTTATTGTAGTCGAGGATATCATCGACTTCCTGGACCTTGAGTGTGTTAAGGTCCACCCGGAACGTCTCCGACTTAAGGAGCGCACCCTGTCTGCGATGTCTCACCACGTACACAATCCCGATCGCATCTTACCGATTATTCCAGTGCGCCTCAGGACCTCTACTAGATGTATTGCGCACTATGGGACTCTGGCTCTACTGGCAACTTCATTCATCCTCGCGTAGTTAAGGAGGCATCTCTCTATACATCTGCCTACCCTTCCACTGTCACTGTCACGCTTGGCGACAATCAGGCCAAATCCTTCGTTGATTCAGTGGTGCCTGATCTTCCATTCTCCTTCCCCCTGCGGATGCCCCACAGCCTTCGCAAGGCCTCTCGGTTCCATGACCAGTAGACCTTCGACATCATGGAAACCCTATATGATCTTGTTCTCGGCACTGCCTACTCCCATCAGTTCGCCCATGCTGGCCCCGATTGGACCCAAAACGACCTCGTCCTCGACGCCAAGAACGAGAAGCAATACCGTATTCCGTTGTTGGGCAAATCGGACTCTACATCCCCCTCTCCTATTAATGTTGCCATCTTGACACCAACCTAGTTCCACCACATCCTTCGTCAGCCTGATGCCGAACTCTGCATTGTCGACATCACGGATCTCCTTGTCTGTAACTTTATGCATCAGGACGCTGAGTTGGTCGAGTTCGACCCACCACTCCCTGAGCCCCCCGAGCCTCCTGATTCTTCAGCCCCCTCATCCCCCTTCACCCCTTCCACCTCATCTCACCTTCTTGCATATTATACCAGGGAGGCGCCATCGGTACCTATTCCCATACCGACTCCTTCCACCCCTGCTTCAGACGCCGCTGCAGCCGAGGAGTTTGACAACCTCCTATCGACTTTGCAGCCTAGCGTTGCGGCCCTCCTTCGCGAGTATCGCGATGTTTTTCCTCCGACTATCTCTTATAGCAGCATCCCTCCTATGTGCGATATCGAGCACCACATCCGGCTCGAACCTAACTACCGTATTCAGCATCGCGCCCCATATCGCCTCTCGGTTCCCGAAGCCCAGGAACTTAAACGCCAAATTGACGAGCTGCTTCGTCAGGGCTTCATTAAACCGAGTACGTCCCCATGGAGTGCACCTGTCCTCTTCGATCGCAAGAAAGATGACACTCTCCGCCTCTGCCTCGATTACCGCGGTCTCAACGAGTATACGGTCAGAAACAGTTAACCTATGCCCCGTGTGGATGATCTGTTCGACCGCCTCTCCGGCCACCACGTCTTCACGAAGATTGATCTTCGTAGCGGATATCACCAGATCCGCATAGCCGAGGAGGACCAGCCTAAGACCGCTTTCCGTTTTCGTTTTGGGCACTACGAGTTTACCGTCATGCCTTTCGGTCTTCGTAATGCCCCTGCCACCTTCCAGATGGCTATGAACACGATGTTCCACGACCTTCTTGAGAACTTGGTTCTAGTCTACATCGACGACATCCTGGTCTACAGTCGTACCTTAGAGGAGCATCTGACCCACCTTCGCACTGTCCTCCAGTGATTACGCGACCATGGGTTTTATGCGAAGCTCTCCAAATGCCACTTCGCTCAACCCAAAGTCGACTTCCTTGGGCATCAAGTCTCCGAGCACGGACTTCACATGGACGACTCGAAGATCCAGGCCATTGTCGACTAGCCCACTCCTACTTCTCTTCCTGCGCTGCATAGTTTCCTTGGGTTGACCAACTACTATGGTCACTTTCTTAAAAACTACGCGCAGTATTCTTCCCAGCTTACCCCTCTGACTCGCGGACGTCTACCTTTTCATTGGACCCCGGCTCACGAGGATGCTTTCTGCTCTCTCAAGCGGCTTGTCACATCAGCTCCTGTCTTACACTTACCCGACTACTCGCGTCCATTCATCGTCACCACTGACGCATCCGACTTCGCTATTGGAGTTGTTCTCTCCCAGATCTACCCAGCCGCCTCTACTCCTCCCGATTCCACAGATTCCCGCCTCCCTCGTATTCCTCGCTTCCCTCCTCCACTTCCAGCGACTGCGGCTCATTTTGCACCCATCAAGCCCACCCCCCTAGGGGCCCCACCCCCTTATATTCCTGACGTCGCTGATGATGGTACAGTCGAGTCTCACGATGGAGAGTGTCCGGTTGCTTATCTATCTCGACAGCTACTTCCCGCTGAGCATAACTATACTGCAGACGAGCGTGAGGTCCTTGCGCTGGTCTACGCTGTTAAGAAGTGGCGTCATCATTTGCACGGTCATACTTTCACCGTTTTGACGGACAACTCTGTCCTTGCCGCCTTCCAGACGAAGCCTAAGCTCATTTCTCGCCAGGCTCGTTGGTGGCGTGACCTCTCGGAGTTCTACTTCACCATCAAGAAGATCTCTGGCGAAAGCAATCGTGTTGCAGATGCCTTATCCCGCCGCCTAGACCTTCAGTGCGAGGATCGTCAGCTATCTGCTATCTCAGCTCCCACCATCCACCCCGCCTTTCTAGATGAGTATCGCCGCGCATACACCCAATGCCCTGAGTTTCAGTCCATCTACGCTGACCTACAGGCTGGCAAGTTCGTCCCTAACTTCCAGCTTGATCCCTCTGGACTCCTATATTGGCTTGGTCGCCAAGGTACTCGTACTCCCCGCTTATGCGTGCCCTCTACTGGCCAGCTCCGTGTTCGGGCCGTCGCTGAGTGTCATGACCAGCGCGCCACCGGTCATCTCGGTGTCTTCCAGACACTTGACCGCCTCTACCGCCATTACTACTGGGAGCACCGCCGTCCTTTCACTAAGGAGTACGTTCGCACCTGCAGGATCTACCAGGAGGCCAACATTCCCAACCACCCCCCCTACGGTCTTCTTCAGCCCTTACCCATTCCTACTCAACGTTTGACGTCTGTCTCCATGGACTTCGTCGGTCCTCTTCGTCCCCCTACCCCTCGAGGCCACGATGCTATCTTCGTCATTGTATGGCAGTTGACTAAGCATGCTCACTTCCTCCCATGCAAGTATGTTAGTTCAGCCAAAGACATCGCCTCCCTATACTTCAACCGTATTGCCATCCATCACGGTCTTCCCACCAGCATCGTCTCTAATCGCGATCCCCGTTTTTCTTCTCGTTTCTGGCGTGGACTCCATGAGATCTATGGCTTCGAGCTCCGCCTCTCCTCCTCCTATCACCCCCAGTCAGATGGACAGACCGAGGTCACCAACAAAACTCTTGGGAGTATCCTCAAGAAGTTTGTTGAGAATGACTCTGATTGGGATCTGCATCTTGCTCACGCAGAGACTGCTTATAACCATGCTATTTTCCCTGCCACTGGCATGTCTCCCTACTATTGTGACTTGGGATACCATCCCCGTGTCCCATCCGACCTTCTTCGTCCATCTCAGATCCATCCCGACACCAAATGCCCTGCCCTCGATGACTGGGTAAAGGAGATGGATGCGCTCCTTAGCAAGGCTCGCGAGAGCATTGCTCACTCCCAGACTCGCACGGCCACTCGCGCTAACCGCTCTCGCATCGACCATCCCTTCAAAGTTGGCGACGAGGTTCTTGTCGACGCACGTCACTTCCAGCCCGAAGCTGACACACTTCGGAAATTCAGACGTTGATATATTGGACCATGCACCATCCTTGCACCTGCCGGACCCAATCATGAGTGTCCGGTGAGCTTCAAATTCAAATTGAAGCTCCCCGATTCCATGTACCGCGCTAACTTACATGATGTATTCCATGTATGTCTTTTGCGCCCCTTCAGACGGTCTCCCCCCGAGTTTCACGGTCAACCTTACCCTCGCCCCTCTCCCATCATCATTGAGGGTCACGAGGAGTTTGTCGTCTCTGATATTGCATCCCGGCGTATGACTAATGGTGACCCTCCCCGCCTCGAGTATCTCGTTCGATGGAAGGGTTATCCTGACGAGGAGTCTGCTTGGGAGCCTCTTGAGCACCTGAAGCATGCTATGACTTTCGTGCGTGCTTACGATCGTGCTCATCCTTTCCCTTCATCATCCTCCCCTCCTACTTCTCGTCCTTCTACTACTGTTTCTTCTACCGCTGCGACCACTAACATTCCCCCTCCTCCATCGATGGGTCCGCCTGCTCCCGCGGTTTCCACCTCAGGTCCTCCTTCCCCTGTGGCTCTGGTCCCGCCTGTTGTTGCAGTTCATTCCTCTCGCCCTCAGCGTACCCATCGACTTCCTTCTCGTTTTCGTGACTGATCTATATCCCCCATACGCTCTCTATCTTTTACCATTCCTGGACACTTATGCAGCAGCTCCCGGTTTCAGCTTCTACATTCGGCTTCTACATTCAGCTTCTACATTCGGCTTCCACATTCGGCTTCTACTTCGGCTTCTACATTCGACTTTCGACCTCAGTGCTTCTCCTCAGTACCAGAGTACCTGTCGCTGTGTTCCGGACTTCTACTTGGTTCTTGTAGTACTCTTACTTCATCTAGGCTACTTCGGTTCGACTTCAGTCTGGAGACTCATCAGTGGACTGCTTCACTTTTCGGCTACATAGTTCCCATCATTCTCACCTATCCACCACCCTCAAGCTTACCCTTCGGTCGCATGATGACCCCTATTTTCCCTGTCTATGTGGGTGTGTCCGCTTGCCGCCCTTCTGCCTTACCTTATGCTGCTCGTCCTCCTCTGGAGTGTACGTTTTCTTTGCTCGCGGCTTTTGGCCACATGTCTATGCCGGCATGGCCCTCTCTTTCCTTCCAGGGTCACCTTATGCGTGCTCCCTTGGGTCAGTGCCTCTCCCCCCTCTCAGCTGGCGGTACCCGTTTGATGGTTTCCATTGAGCCCGGTGTCGAGCTGTTACTCCCCCTCTGAGCCTGATGACCCCTTACCTGGTTGTGTGGGTGCCCCCTTGGAGTTTACTTTGAGAATTGTACCTGTCGCCTTCCCACCCGTTCCTACTTCTGCCATGCGACTGAGTTCCCTTCTCTTTTGTTCAGGTATTGTGCATTGTGTACAGGGCACGTGAGACTGTGCCACATTCGTTTTCGACTTACGACATTGGTTTAGTTATTCTTTGGCCTTTAGGGCCCTGGTGTTGATTTATATTCAGCCTATTTGGCTCCTGAGACATTTTTTTCTTTCTTGGCCGACACAGTTCAGATATTGTTTTCTTTCTTGGCCGACATAGGTCAGACATTTTCCTCTTTCTTGGCCGACATAGGTCAGACATCTTCCTGGTTCTTGGGTCGACCCGGACCAGACATTGTTGTATAGATTAGGCTTGCGGCTTAGTCTGGATTGCATGCCTTTTCCTGCATGGAGCCTGCTCCGCATCTAGGATTGTTTCTTTTGCCGTTCCTTTTGGGTTTCCGCTATTTCAGCGGATAGCGTGTTTGATCTATCACTTGATCCATTCACAGTTCCGAGGATCGTGGAGCGGTACCCCTACGTCCCGGCAGTGAGGCCGGACCAGTTTCAGGCCACCGCCCTGACCCTGGTCCGGTACCAGTTTGTTCCGTACCTGGACCTAGGCCGGTATATCACTCCGGCCTAGGCCCAGGGCGGAAGATTGATTCATTCTGTTCGCTCGTTCATTCATGTGGCCGGACTGGACCTTCACTCAGCTGCTGCTTCTCGTGTGTGTCCATCTCCTCTCTCTCCCTCTATCTCTCACCATCTCCGCAAGGGCCCGTGGCACGTGCGCCACAAGCCTCCTGATGAGTCGGTGAAACTCCGACGAAACAGTTTGTCACAGCCCCTCGTTTGTTGTCCTCTTCTCTCCCTCTGCCTACGGTTTATCGGGCAGTTCTGTTTGTGACGATATATATATATATATATATATATATATATATCTATGCGAGGCTACGCCCGCTTAGCCCCTACGGGGCCCTATCTGCAACAAGGTCGGCCGCCCTAAGTGAAGGCAGGCACGACAGGCCCTTCGGGCCTCATTCTTCAAGGTACCCCGCAACGGGGAAATTCAGACAGTTGCGTTGCGCCAGTTGGTTGAATGAATCCAGGCCCTGGGCCGCCTGTGTAAATGAATGTGAAGCAGGCCCTGGGCTGGATACGGGTACCGGGCCAAACACAGGCCGAAAGCAGTTGGGCGCATGCAACCACTTCAGGCCCAAGGCCTGCTCTCTTCGTGACTGGGTCTGTGCCTACCGGGGCCTACCGGAAGCTTCCTGGACTGGACGCAGGCACGCCACTTCGATATAGGGAAGGGCCTGCCTACTCATTCGGCATTCGGGTTCTGGCTGCATGCTGCGTGAACGCCTGCTGCACAATCTGCTGGCTGGCTGGCACTCACGCTCTCACGGGCGAATAGGAGGGAGCACGCAGCCATAGCCAAGCTGCGCTGCTGTATGCTAGGTGAAGCGCAGGGTGGTCCTTGGGGTGCTAGTGGCATCTGTGCGGTGTGGATCGGGGTTGTGAGTGTTACGAGAGACATACCTGGTGCTGAAGCGTGCGACATTGGTCGCCATATGCTCGTACTTTGGGAACGCTCGTGATGCCAGTCTGCTGTGGTTCGAGGTCAAAACTATTTGGGCTCATATGTATGATGCAGTTTGATTGCTGAAGTTCGCTAATGCTCATCTTCCTTGCAATTTGGTATCGGAGCTGTGGTACGATTGCGCTCATCTGGCGCTTGTCTTCTGCCTTATACGGTACATACATGCGGTCTGCTGGGAGAGTTTGGCCGTAAGTGGTGTATAGTGAGGAGGGTGGAGACGAGTGTGAAAGCGACCCAGGTGGTGAGGTGCATCGCCCGGAAGGCTAAGGTGTGAATATTGGGTGTTCGCAGTTTGGTGATTGAGGCTGAGGTGGAACGGTGAAATGCTGGTTGTGCCGATGCTGTGACTGGTCATCGCAATCATCTTTAGGTCATCTGGTGAGATTATCTCTGTGGTTGGGGGCAGCATGAACGAGGTACGTTGCTCTTAACCTTACCTACCCTCTTCATCACTTCTTACCGTGAGGTTGCGAGTTCTGTCTTGAGAGTCCTCTCCTCGTGAGGTGTCGTGTGCGCTCAACCTTGAGGGTCGTGATTGTTCACGTGGAGCATCTGGGGGAAGACGTGCGGAGCTTCTTGAAGGGCCGTGGACAAAGCACTGGGTCACGGTCACCATGCCAACCCACTGGGTGTAGTACACGCATGCTTCGCTGCAAGTCGTTGGTTTTGCTGCTTGCGCATGATAGGG